CTCAATTGAAGTCTTGCGGAAATGTCTCGTCTCAAATCGTCTGATTGTTTTGCTTCTAAGTAAGACTTCATGGCAAGTGTTCTGAGGGCATCTATGTTTTTCTCAGGAGAAGGAAGTGAAGCTGTAAGCTGTTCCGGTGTCATGTTCTCTGGGTACAAAAGATCTGCAGGTCGTCTTCCAAATGCCATCTCCAATGGAGATACTCCACCAAAAGTAGCCATGGAGTTCCTGGCAAGTGATGCTTGTCTGAGGAGTTGACGGTACGTGATCTCGTATCTGGATGGATCCTCAGTCACGGCCTTAAGCATCAGGGTGATCTGCTTTTTGTACGTGCGAACAGCTGCTTCAGCTCTATTTGGCCACGGAGTACCAGGTCCTAAAGTAATCGGTCGGATATTCTTCCTATTGTAAAAGGATTCAAGTTCAGTACCCATGAAACCTTGATCACCGACAAGATACTTAGGATTCAACTGGTATGTCTCAAAGTACTCCAAAAGGTGGCCAATCGTTTCTGCTTCAGTCTTGCCGTTACAAACGTAAGCAGTGGTCATAGAAGTAGCACCGTCATAGATAATCAGGAAAAGAAGTTTGGACTTGTCGTTGATAGCTAGTTCACCATGATCAACAAAGGTGAGTTCTCCAAACGTTTCACTTCTCATACCTGAAATTCTTGATCTTGAAGGTGCAGTTTTCGACTTCTGACATGTGTCACACTGCTTAACTACCTTCTCGTACTCTTCATAGATCTTGACAGGAATCTTCAAAGCTGAAGTACGTTTCTTGAACTGTTCAGTTGACATGTGATAATGCTTCAATTGCAGTTTCAAGAGTTCAGTTGGATGAGACAGCTTTTCATGGATTCTCTGCAATGCTAGCGGCAATGTTACAGAAACCTTAGGCGCCTTCTTCTCTCGATGAACTGTTGTTGGTATTGGTTTCACGTCTTCCTTTCATTCTTCCTGAGGATCTGGCTTCACCGGCATGTCTGGTGCTGCTGGAGGTACGTCAGGCTTATCGGGTCCTGAGCTCGAACTTGGAATCTTCGAATGCTCAAATGGTGTACCAAAATCAGGTGACTTTTCTGTCTTCCGGTATGTCGGAGGTGTCACCTTCTTGGCCGGTGGAGGCATCGAAATAAGCTTCGATGGCGGATCGACTTTGGCATCTCCACTTGCGATGTGCTTCTCTGGTTTCTTAGCCGGAATATTGGCTGCTGACTTGTCTTCCTTCACTTCGGATGTCTCTGCCTTCTTGCATCCATCCTTATATGTGTGCTTACGATGCTTACCATTGCAGGCAGGACAAGTTGCATACGAAGGATTGATTGCAGTGAAACTGTGGTTCGGCTTACGAACTGAGCTGGCAAACATCATGATGTCTAAGACATTATGGTTCGAAGTGCTCACTGGCAGCGAAAAAACGCTTCAGACCGAACAAAGGACAAGTCAAATAGTCGCTGACTGGAGTATGCTCAATAGACATGCGAAGGTTCCTGAGCTGCTCAACGCTGAAAAGGATTGGAACATCGCCTTGGTCTAAGATATCTATCGCGGTTGTGATCCACCCGGTGGGTGACTGGTCGTTCTGAAAGTAGATTACCAGCTTCTCTCGGACATTGGACTGTTCACCATTTGCAAACGAAAATCGACTTGACGAAGGCCCAAAAGAGAAACCAATCTTGGATGCATTGTAGTGTCTCTTACATGCCTTCACTAGACGCATAATGGCGGTCCTTGAGCCCATTGCTCTGGTACAGCCGCTAAGTCGGACTGTACCTCAGGTCGATGTATTCAGAAAGCAAAGCATGGTGAAATCCATCGTCAAAGTTGACAAAAGAAGAACAGAAGCGTGGATCAATCACTTCAGAACAACCGGAATGTCGGTAGTCTGTATCGCTACCGGCAGGGTTTAGGTGATACTGATGTGAAACATGTTCTTCACCAGTCATTTCTTCTGCATGGTTTCCGTAATACCGGAAGTCTGTTGACTGGTTCATCTGGCCAGGCCTTGGCTCTGAGCTACAGTGCTCTTCATCTTGCGGTCTGTCCGTCTGTCCGTCCGCAAAGTATGTCCATTGTTGCCAAGTGGCTTCATTTGCCTGCCAGACATCTTCAGGATAGTACTGGTCTGTGTGATATCCATAGTCCCATGACCAATTTGCTTCATGTGCACTCCAGGTTTCTTCGGCATGAGGAGTTGGCTGAGCTGATGAAGGCTCTTCGGTGGTTGCAACATTGGATTGTTGAAAGGGATTCTGCTGCTTGCTTTTTCCCTTGCCTTTGAACGCATCTTTTCCTTTGAATCCTTTCTTTCCACCTTTCTTTCTTTTCTTGCCTTTTTCCATAGAAACCTGAGTTGTCAGGGTACTCTGCGTAATGTGCCCCTGCACCCTTGCCTCTACGGCTGACAAAGCCGGGTCTTCTACCTTTTCCGCGGCCTTTTCCTTTGCCGCCTTTGGATGGTTTTCTGAATCTTCTTCCATGGATTCTTCTACGGGTGTATCCTCCTTTAGCTGCTAACACCCAAAATTCGGATTCTGAGAACAAACTCACAAATCCTTCTTCGCCTGTTTCCTGATCCATCACCCGGTATCCGGATTCTTCCTCCAAGTCTCCTTCATCGAGAACAAGGAAAGTGGATCTTCTCTGCCTGCGGATCGAAGGATCGGCAGTTCCTGTGGCGGTTCCGCAAAAGAGATCAAGGAATAAGCCTTTGACACCTAAGTATGTGTGGTTGTTCATGTTGATCTGACGCAAAGGCATGCTGGCTACAAACCTTTCTCTTTGCTGTTCGTTGAGATCCGATTGAACTAAGAAAATAAGTGACATCAAGTTGTCAGACAGTGGAAAGGTGTCACGATGTGTTTGTTTCTAAGCATCAATGTGTTCAGAACGGATTCTTTCTGCAGCTTCTCTTCTTTCTGCGGGATCTTGAAGTCCTTGAAGTAGCATGTACTGCTGTTGCGAGAGGATATCAGTAAAGTTGAAATCATCAGGCTGTGGAACAGTCGAAAGATCTAATAAGCCCATGAAGCCAGGTCCTGAAGAGCTGCATGAAACGCCAAAGAAAAACATGATTTGCTCCCTTGACAAAGTATGGGCGCAACGTCTCCTTGAAATACGTACTACCGTTTCTTTCACGACGAAGCTGTTCATTGTCGAGCATCTTTTTATAGTCTTCGGCGTTTCCGGTTAGAGCGTTCTTCAATGATGGGCCTAATTTTTCGGCGCTTAATGTGGTGATGTTCACCCAGTCATCAATCAAATCTTCAAACTCGAACCAGGATGACTGTCCATCAAATGACGGAGGAATTTTTGGCGTCATCTTGACAGTCTTGACACCTGCTGATGGCTGTGCCTCGTACGTCCGGTATGTCGAGGACCTTGCTTGCTGATGGCGATGACGCGTGCCTTGAGCGGCGAAAGCTTCTTCTGGATCAGTTGCTTCCGACAGGCTGTCGTCGTGCTCTTCGTCCGTATCTATGCTAAAGATCTGGACCATGGTCTATTTGTTTTCAGACAAAGACAAGTGACTCGCTTGGTTGTCCCCTGTCCGGAATATCGGACGATTCGGCACGAAGGCAAAATCGACCGTTGCGAAGCAGGAGACACAAGCTCCGCTACCACTTTGAGGGGTAAGTTCCCCCAGAAGTGGCAGTTGCTTAACTGGACCTGATCGAAACACCAAGTGAAGTCACACGAATGCGATCGGTGTGCAAGCGGCAGCGATGCACACCTTTTCTATGGCTGCGGATGCAGGTATTGGGCTTGAGCCAAATGAATTAGGTCGAAAGCGGACTGAAGAGCTACAAACTAGTCTATACAAGATAACAGGTGCTACACACGTATAGCGTAGACACGCCTAGGGGACCTAGGACCCTACCAAACACAGGGGGTGGGGGGGAACCATGGCCAACATAATAACCTTCCATGTGGTTGGAAAGGGATTGTACACTCATTCATTCGTTCGTTCGTTCGTTCGTTCATTCACTCAGTCAGTCAGTCAGTCAGTCGTTCGCTCGTTCATTCATTCATTCATCCATTCATTCATTCATTCATTCACTCATTCATTCATTTGTGCTACTGCTACTACTACTACCGTGGTAGTACCACTGCCACTACCACTACCACTACCACTACCACTACCACTACCACTACGACCACTACTACCACTACTACCACTACTACCACCACTACCACTACTACTACTACTACGACTACTACTACTACTACTACTACCCGGGTCATCAGTTGTTTTTTTGAAGTGTTATATTGGTTTGTATTCCTGGTTTTGGCTACCAAATCAACGGTTTTGGTTACTGAATCAGCGGTTTTGGTTACCGAATCAGTGGTTTTGGTTTCCAAATCAGCGCTTTTGGTTACCGAATCAGGCGTCAACCCCTTTCATTACTTCGACAGCAATGAGTCATGATGCCTATGGCAAGCTCAGCAACGGCTATGTCTCAGGGGGCCAAAGGTGTGTCAACAAAAAAGTGGATGGGAAGAGGCCAAATCTACGGTGTAAAAGTGACCTGCCAGCCTTGATCTAAGATGTCACTTCTTCGCAGGGGTGTTTGGATGATGAGATACAGTAGTCCATTGCTCATGCCCAAAGAATCCACGGGGCGTTTTAGTGCGAATACAGGAGTCAAACTGCAAAGCCTTGAGTGGATGCGTTTTAGTGTGCTGCCTGCGGTGCACTGCACATCAGTGATCAGTGCGATCCTGTGTCGTTTTGCCTTGGATTTTGCCTGGCTTCGCATTTGCCCACGATGACTTCTGAGATAGGGTTCAGGTTGGACATTGGCTACTTTTGGACACGCTTTGGCTGAACGAAGGACACCACGACATCCTCCACTTTACCACCAGCATAACACTATCATAGGATCAGCACAATATGAGAATCCTCCTTCTCCAAATATTGGATCCACATGTTTCAGGTTTTGTTCACATGAACCTTTCGAGAGGGCCCATTTGTGGTCCCACATGAAGCGTTTGCAGGTATGTGGTGGTTGCTGCTGTTGGGGACGCTGTGGAGATCAGCGCTTTATCTCTAATGAGGTCCTTGTGGTCAATCCTCCCTTTGCGGCATCTGTGAGTGAAGTTGCTTTCAGGGTCCTTTTGCAGTGAGTGTGGCATTTTGTCAGGATCTTTCGACTTCTTCGAATTCTGAGGGTCATAAGGCTCATTCGAGTCTGTGCCGTCCTTGTGTCTTGATATGGTACTCACATTCTTTGGAAGATTAGTTTGTTGCTATGAATACGGGGTGAGGCCCATTTTGCAAGTTGTGCTCCAAATGGACGCATGATCCACATATATATAGTCAATTTTATTTACGACTGCTAAGGTCCCAAGCTTTACAGGATTTGCACAAGCTTGGTGGCGTGCCTTGTTTGCACTGGTGAAGCTGTGATGCAGCACAAGGCCGTCCACCTTTTTCATTGCAGGCTTTTAAGTTTGCTGAACAAGTCCTCTTGGAAAGTTCTACTCCCCTGTTTGTAGGAAGAAGCTGAGTTCACAAGAAGGTATTGAATTGAAACTCCGCAATCAACATCTAGACCTTGTTTATATTTTCGATGTACCCGGACTTCCTTATTGCAGCTCCCCTTGCATTGGGTGATACAGCCAGCGTGGTCTTATTGAAGGCAGACACAAATACATCCTCTTCAAAAGTTGAGGCTTGGGTTTAAGTTGAACTTTTGTCGTACCTGCGGGATAAACCAGAGTTTTAGAACCTGGAAAAGGCTCAACTGAAGACTACATGCCACCGGGGTTTGGATTCGCCCAGGATGGGCTGAACCTGGCCCTCGAAACAATTCTTATATATAACCGCCAAAGCAATGTCAGCATTCCTCTAACGCAAGCTTCGGATGCCTTGAATATGACTTGAAACTACCTAATAGCAATGGCCTCCAACCTACTCGCCCACCTTTGGTGAGTTCTGTTCAACTGTTTAGCCAAGAAATGTGCAGCCACGGATCCAATCTTTACACTCAAGCAAGTCATGTGGTACGCATTCAATGGAGCCACTCTCAATCATGCCTTTTCACAGACAAAGCTGTGTGGGCAGATATATTGAATGAAATGTGGTGTCACTGGACCTAAACAGAGAAAGACACAGTCTAAAAGCAGTTTCTCAAGAATTTGTCAAAACACAACCACCACTTGTTCGCACTAGTGCTTCAACCATGGAATGTGTGGATGCACTGAGGGCAGTCCGAGCAGTTTCCTGGGTGTTTTTGCTGCTTTTTGTCTTCATGTGTGGATCCTAGATTCTAGCTTGAAGCTAGGACACGCTTTCAGAGCAAAATGCATGTTGCAAAGTTTGCTCAGTACGGCTTTCGGATTTGGCTCATGCTGAGTATGGTGGCTCATATTGCCCTGGCGTCAGGTACATCTCAGCTCTAAGCTGCACAGTTTTGCTTTCAAATTCGCAAGACTCTTTGATACGTCGGGAGCCCTGACTAAGTCAGATAATGAGACCAGCATGCACCACGTGCATTCCTTCTTCTCGTAAAAGGATATTGAAGGGGATGAAACAATTTTTGGACGGGCTTTCTGAAAAACGTTCTGTTTTGACACGACGAAACATCAATTTGCCATTTCACTCGTGCTTCTTGCTATGGGAAGGTGATAACTTTGGGGCTGTTTTCCCCAGCTTGTACATTCACTTTGTCGTGTGGACCTCAGTTCAGGCTGTGGTGTATGCATGAAAGGACAGCAGAGCGAAAGCCTCGAATGTCCTAACCGGGCCTTGTAGAGATGCTATTTATTAAGTAATATTCTTGCTGTTCATACTTCTTTGACTTCGCTGAGATTTTGACAGTGGAGGGCTTTCCAGAACTTGTTGCAGCTATTGCAGAGGACCAGAATGCTGTGGCATCCTACTGTGGTTCAAACGATTTGCATCTTAGACAGTTTTTCTTGTCTTTTTGCTTGGCCTCTCGCTCCCCGTCCATCCACTAATATACTTAACGACCCTCACAACTTTTTGCTTCACATTGCTTCAGACATGATTCAAGGCCTTGCACTGAATTTTGTTGCTTAGGAACCATCTTGTATTGTGCAGGAACACGGCTGGCTTTGGTACATCTATTTTTGCTGTAGCTTGGAGACGCAAACTTGAAAGTGGCTTTTTGAGATTGGGATTGGAAAAGCGCACATTCTCACAGTATTTCTTAGCTATCCCAAAGTGTAAAGTGTCCTGAGCATTCTCCGTTTATGATCTTGATTTTGGATGTCTGCAGTTTGAGCTCACGTTTGCCATAAAGGTTATATCCTCTTCACGAATGTCATGGTGATGAACACAGTCACAGGTGCATTTAGATGGACATCGTGTTCTCAAGACCCTTCTGTGTTGATTGCTGCTTCAGGAAATCACTTTGTGTCTCAAACACTCTGCAGGGAATCGTAAAGTTCTGGCACCTTTCTAACTGTCGCGCCTGATTTCCGACGCCAACAAACAGCACTTGATTTGCGAAGGCGTCATCTGCCAAACTGTTGTGTCCCAGGGTAGCCAGGATCCAGGAGCCAAGGCAGGCAACACAAATAGCAAACTACTAGTTGTACTACTGGCCATCTAGGAAGCTGTCATCCAGAGGCTCAGTGCTTCAAAGAGTTCGACAAACTAAAGGAGGTGGGAAGGGTGTATTCTGATGAATCAAATATTGCGATGAGATGTAGCCTCCTGAGTACTTTTGTGCCGTAATCCCTTTGGTTGGGAAGAGAAACAACATTCTGCCGGTTTTGCGTAGACTGTCTTCCAGACTTACCAGGTGTAGACTTGTCAGGAAGTCTTTAGGCGAGTCAAAGCTTATCGCTTTACAAAATCTTGAATCATTACAAAAGGACTTAGCTCGATTATGTGCAGCCAGGTAGTTCTGGATTGCATGCTGCTGGAAGGTGGGTCGGGCATTCCTATGGAACCATCTAAGGTATATATATATAATATATATACATATCTAAGTGATGAGTCGTGGCAAGGCACAGGTGATATGGTTCATGAGGTGACATGAAACATTTTGCTTCTCCAGAGTGGGCAAAGTGCCTTTGGGTTAACTAGCCACTGTGATGCACATCTTTTGGCACTACATTCCTCATCCACACCTTTATTGATCGTCATTGCAATCCAAAACGTTTGATTCCAGGACTGCGTTATGATGTCAATGACGAAATGAGCTTTGAGGTGTTCCAGCAGGTTATGCGCAATCCAGGTATCGCCGCTGTTGATTAATTCTGAAGATTTGAGAGTGGGAAACCTTGACTCAAGCTTGTATATACACCACACTTGGCCAGTTCCCTCAAACTGACATGCAGAGGAAGTCTGCAGTGCACAGGGATGACAGACACGTGTTGCATGTGCCACAGCTTTCATCCACTTTGCTTGGAAAGGGGTCCGAGCGTCTTTCGATGCTGTCGAACTTTGTCCAGGCCTTAGAGACAATTGCGATTCTTACTTGCAGTCGCCGATTCATCTCGTTCATGAGGTACGAACTTTCACAGCAATCGTAGCTTTTTGGATCAAGCGAAGGTTTGTTGCAGGCCATATTGGAGGTCTTCAGCATGTCGATTGAACAGCGTGGAGAGATAATGCGGAGCAGCTGCAGCTTGCCAGAGCTTCTGGCTTGTGAGGAGAGCTGCAGAAACGAGCTCACAACGCAGGTTGAGTCCTTGAGGAAGATGCACAAATCTGCTCATCTCGAACAGCAGAGCCACGTAAAACATCTGAATCAGCTAATGAATGCAAAACGGACAACGCTCCGCACCCCAGAGAATGACAGGAATGACAGGTACATGCAGCACGTCCAAGTGGGAAAGTGCTTCCAACAGATTCAGCAGCTAGATGAGGCCTTGGCTTTGGTACAGAACAAAAAAGACCAACTACGGAGCAGACAGCGGCAAGCCCTCTTGGTGAAGCCAATCCAAGCCTCAGGCGTGCAAGGACTGAAAGCTACGAGTCAAGCTATGCTTTTTGGACGTGTTTTAATGATAAGAGTTCAAAGGATCATACCCAAGACCCAAGCCCTTTTGATCATGAAGGTTAGGTGCGGCTAGCTCTCAAGGGCTTGGCTCAGCTTAGAACTACAGTACAGCATGTTTTCCATTTGGCTTTGATATTTCTCATAGCCCCAGCTGATTGATGATGACAAGTGCGTCGTGCTTTTAGGATCTTTCCAGCAGGAGCTGCCTAGGTCATAGCCTGCACGCCTAAGCGGAAAGCAGACTAAGTCACGAGGGCCTGAGATATTGTAGTTTTTCTGCTGGTTTTGTTGTCGCTGCAGCCGTGCAAGCAACTGCTGTTGTTTCTCCGGCTGCGTTCTTTGGGAATTGGAGACAGCAACTGCAACCCATGCGGAAGGAAGAGCAAACGGTCCCATTGCTTTCATCATTTATCCCACCTTTCAATGTCATCTATAGACTGAGGCCCTGGGTCAGTCCATTTCTAAGACACTTCTGTCACTGGCACCGCTTCACAAGAAGCGAATCTGATTGTGCTGACAAGACTTAAAGCTGTTGGACTGTTGGGTCTGATGTTTTGACGGTGGGAAGTTGCTGGTTGCGTATGTTGTGGGAGGCGTTTGGGAATGCTTGACCAAGAAGAAGCTATACACACACATATATATATATAATATAATTAGCTCGCCCCCAATGCTTCCCTTGTGAAGTCTTTGGTCTCATGTGTGCTGCTGACTTTGCTGTGTTGCAAGTGATAGGTGAACAATTGCACAACAAATCAGTTTCATACTTGCAAGTGAATGATCAGGAAGCTGCCCATAGGTAATGAGAACTGTCGAGGAACAATTACCGGCAAATCTGTCGCCAGGCTGTGCAAGGTCGCAATCTGTTTGCGACATGCAGAAGTGGTTCAAGTCATATGGCGAACCATCGGGCCTCACAAGATGGAAAGACTGGCGCTCAAGCAGTCCGTACGTGCAGCAAATGAACTGCAAGTTCAAAGTCTCCTACTGAAATTATAGGTTTGACGTCGACGTGTTACCTTATTTTTGCATTGTTGCATTTTGAGAGTGGCACAACATATCACAAAGTCATAGTAATTCACATGGTTTGTGTTTGTTTCGTTAGACGATGCCTTGCATCGAAGGCTTTCAACTACCATTCAATGTACAAGCAAGATGCAACTGATGCGATTGCTTACGCAAGCCGTAGTTTTGGAGAACTATCATGAACTGTCATACATTTTTCATGATTTCTCACAGCTTATGCAGCTCCATGCGAAGAGCAGGATGCTCAATCGGTAATTGTTATGAGCTGGTGAGCTCCAAAGGAGCTTAGCTTGCCATGTGCGCCCTCCTTAAATCTCAAGTTTCAAGGAAGTCGCAAGCAGTACAAGTCTTGGCAGAAAGGCCATGAGACTGGGCACTGTAGGAAGCTACTAGTAACAAGTGCCTCGCTAGTAGTAACAGGTGCCTTACTAGTAGTAACAAGAAGCTACTAGGAACAAGTGCCTTACTACTAGTAGCGGCTGGGGCACCTGGACATCTCACACTCACACAAGCTGCAAATCTGATTTGGCTTCCCTTCTTTAGGTTTGGACCTTGAGGAAGAGCAGCTTTTCAACATCTTGGATGAAAACGGAGATGGCAAAATCAGTGATGCGCTTAGTTTGGTGACTTGTTGTACTGTAATCTTTTGATTGTACACGTGGCAGGCTTTGACGAGTTCTTCATAAGCCTGTGGCGACTAAGAGGAAGCAAAGACAAGCTCTTAGTTTTGTAAAGTGCAGTTTTGCCTTGTGTCAAATACTGGTATATAAATCAAGCCCTTACGTGCATCAAAAGAGAAGCTTTGCTCCGAAGCTACCTCAGGAAAGGCTTCACTCACTCTTGGTGCAGTCAGACATTGTGCAAACGCACAAGCGCATGGGAGATCGAGTGGTCTGGAGCTTTGACGTTGCCTTAAATGTGTACTGGAAACTGGACACCAAATTGTGGCACAATGAAGCAAGTAGAGAAGCTCTTTCCATAGTTCTGAAGGTCAGTCCATATCTTCCAGTAAGCAATCTCCTAGAGAGTAAATGAGCTATGAAAAGCAACTAAGAAGGTCAGGCACGAAAGATACCAGCTTGTGAATCTCTACCCCTAGTACTTAGGCACAAATGTCCCAGGATTTGCAAGACTGTAGCTCTCATCAATGTGAGCAGCGGGGAAGCCAATAAATCGACCGAAGCCAACTTGCATTCTGTAGATGTCAGGTGAAACCTTTTCTTTGTTCAGAATCGCTTCTATTTCAGTGTACACAAATGATCATCTCAGAACAGTCTTTAGAGTACCGATTTTGTGGAAAGTCGTCAAGACTCGCAGCTCCAAGGCTGCAGGAGGCCTTCTTGCGACGGTGTCGTGATATGGGCCAACGCCTAGAGGAGTGGGGAAGCTGGCTATTTGTTCAAAAACATCAAAGAAAGGAGGGAAGGCTTGTGGGGCGGCATTGGACCACCAAAGAAAAAGATTTGACTTCAGCTTCCCACAGTGAGACATGGGTGGGCTGGGGTGGGTGGGGAGATGGGTACACAAGTGAATGGGGGTGGCGTGCAGCGCATGGTGAAAGTCCCTGACGCCCTGGAGCAGCAAATCAATTGAACTTATGGACAACTCTGACAACTCTGCTTTCCTCGCCTTTCTCGACACTCAAAGCTTCAAGAGCAAGAAGCTTCAAACACCCAGCTTCAAGACCCATCAAGTGTCGAAAGCTCCACTGCTGCAGCCATGGGATCCATTCATGATCGTTCATGCAAAACTCACCTCACTCTTGTCCTCACACCTCTTTGGATCCCCAAATGGTTTTGTGATGAGTACTTCAACCAGCTATTTAGTACAAGGATGCGACTAGGGGCTCCTGGCATCGCTACTAGGAACAAGGGCCCTAGGAACAAGAAGCTAGTAGAAACAATATATAAATAGAATTTAATTTGAATTTCCATGTATATATATAGATGTTTGAGCCACATCAAAAGCCTTGATTCGAGCCCGGTTGCATGTGCAAATGACATCATGCAAGAGCTGGGGATAACTCTGGGAACGAAGTACCAACCTCCCACGCAGGCCCTGAGATGTGGTCCTACCAGTTTTGCCTTGACATTGTTCTCTTCCAACCAGCTGCTGCTGATATTGTGTTTTCTGCAATTTGTTCATTTGCTTCTTTATTTCGGTTTGTCCACCTATTTGTATATATATGTATAAGCATGTTATCATCTACACCTACCAGCTACATATGGCTCACAAACGTGAAGGCCTCTGCACAGTTGCTTGTGCCTCGTGTGGTTCCTGGACATGCAGATGTCTGTGTGGAAACCTACTCTCACTCTGGCCACCCTCTCAGGTGCTGTTTCCCTCGGCTTAAGGGTCGGTCTATGACTGAATGCAGAGAAACCATTGAAGACAATGAAACACAGAATGGTGCTGAGTGCACACAAGCAACAGGTGTTTTGACGCATTCTGGGGGGTGATCCCTCTTCTCTTCTGTGCATAGTTAAATTTTCCAAACATCTAGCAACCACATGAATAGTTTCAGCATGTGTGAGCGCTTCTTCGCCTTAGGGCGGTGGGGGGAGCTTCCTTGAAGAAGCTTGATCTATCCTGCGTCCAAGGTAGTAGTTACTTAAGCTACTAGCGACTCCCTAGCTACTACTAGCTACCGACTCCCTAGCTAACCTACCTCTACTAGCGGCCTACCCCCCCAAAAAAAGTAAAATCCTTCTCCAAAAGAACCAACAGATTCAAAACAAGGTGAGCCCGAGAACCCAAAATCAAAACGGCGCTGCTTCTGAGCGGTTGGTGAAATTTGCGGGTGCCGACGTGGGAGTATGAAGCAGAAGAAGGTCCAAGCCAGGAAGCAAGCAACCAGAAGATACCAGGGAAAGAAACATGAAGAGAATATGCAGTTTTCAGTGAGGAAAAAGGAAACAAGATTCTCGCAGCCAGACATGCTTTATATAATTGTTCGCAAGTTGAGGGTCCAGTGTTTTGTGTGCTTTGTGAGCACGCGCTCCCCCAAACTCATGTAGAAATCACCCGACAGTTCACTCGAGTTTGCAATCACACCTAGTTGCTTCATGCCATTTGCTCGTGATGGATCGTGTGAAGTTTGTTGAACTCTTTGGCGCCCTGTGATTGTTTATCAACGGAGCATTGACACTCAACAGGTGCCTCATTGGCCAGAAACAGGTTCTGATACGGTCGGTTGCTGCGCACCGCAAGCTATGTGCGGAGACCCAAGCCACCCCCTGCAGGCTGCCAGGAAAGCTGCTGCAAATGATGCGCGCCAGCCGAGGGGCATCATGTGCATACGCCCGGGTAAGGTGTCATGTTTATCCACTTACCCGGGCGAGCAAAGAGACCATCTGTCTCAGTGCTGCATCTATGCAGAACCACTGATAAATTGCTGTCTTCTTCATCACTGCTGTCGACTGAGCCATCTAGCCTGAACCGTTGCAAGGACACAGCCCTCAACAAGTTGTGGCAAGATTGTACTCGACCTCGCGCAAAATGTTCGGTGATCCACAGGCCAATCGTCCCCTGATCGCCAAACTGTACACAAGGAACCATCCCAGAGCTTACATCGCCTGAAGCACCGCTGCAGCCACAAGAAGTGCCAAATCGGTATACTGTACATCAACCTACACCATCTTCATCCACTCGACAACTCCTGAAGGCAATGGTGTTCCTCCTCGACAACACGCTGCATCCCATCATTTAGCGCTGCCCTCACGTCTGAGGGTTGGGTCGAGGTGAAGGAGAAGCTAATCCAGTCGCAATCAGCTCTACGAGGTCGATGTGGAGGCTGATGAGACTGTATACTATATACGTTCCAGAAGAGAGACATGACTGGGTTTCAAGATGAGGCTGCAACCTCGACTTGAAGGGCCTCTCATCAAATTAAACCAACGTGCACAGGTTGATTCCATGCAACTGCCGGGTGGCATTTGGGCAACTCTGCAAAGGGGCTTTGCAAAAATTTATGTTGCCCAAACATAAGCTCGTGGTGGCACCTGCGGTGTGTGATCAGAAAAACTCCGACATTTCATTTGTCATTTGTCATTTGTTCTGTTACCTTGGGCCACACGAAAGTTGGGTACATGCATTTGTGCTACAAGTGTCTAACCGCGTGGCAACTACAACTTGCAAAGCACCTGCAACACACAAAATGTAGGTACATGGGAGGGGGTAGCATATGTATATATATATATATGCTACCCCCCTGCCACCAATACCCACCTTTTGCGTTGAGAATGACAGACGGTTCCCCTTGGCAGATGTTAACATAGGATTAAGTAACCTCCCGCAAATAATCAAGCCCATCTCGAACCCCCAACACTAAACTAACTTAAGACCTAAATTCCACATTGGCCTCCCTCTAATAAGTTTGTTCTTGGCAGAAACCTTCCCCTATTAATCAAGCCCATTTGCCACCAGAAAATTGTAAATATGGTTTATCGATAAACTAATATGTTATGTTGCTTAATTATTTTCTTTTCAGTTAGTATCCACTATCTTCCTTTATAGTGGATTTGACCCATGGTGAAACTGATCTTCTGACCCACCCTTTTCACATGCCATTTGCATGAAATCGTTCCAGCTGGTGCTTGTGTTTCCATTTTTTTGGATGTTAGTGTCTTCATGATCTCATCTTGATCATTCTCACCACCACCCCTCAGCTGCCTCAATCTGCTCACCCAACCTGATTGCTTGTCCCGAAGGCTCATGCTACCAACCATTCTGATGACCAATGTTCTCCCAAGCAACATTTTTCCACAACCACAAAAAACTTTCTGGCAAAACTCTTTCATCTTTGTCATTAAATTTATATGAACATAACAAGGTTTTCAACAGGTTTTCAAGTCACAAAGGGCGCCCCTCACGCAGGCCCTACCCCCTCTGATAGTGGCACCTCCCCTATTAGTCAAGCCCGCCCTTTGGCCTCCATCTTGCCTTCCATCTCTTTCATCCTTCAATCCTTGTCGTTTTCCAAACCATTATCCCAATTACTGTAGACCATCCAATATAAGCATCCACCCTCACCGCATTGCCCAATCCTCCTCCATGCTCTCAAATGCAAGCTCCCAATTGGCATGGCTCTGATCTCTCATCAAACTGGGCCAATGTGCTAAGCTCTCATTGTGCTCGTGGTTGAACAACTCTTGGTTCACACAGAATCCCGTCAACCATCATCCATCATCAGGTCAGCAAATCTATTCGGTCAGCGAATACCTCCAATCTCAAACCTTGTTGACCTTGAAGGGGTAAACAAATATGTAATGGGATCTCTGGTATGTTGCTTCATATCCCTTTATCACAGTCAGTCAATCATTTCCAAAGTTTTTAGCAAATAAAGTATAGCAGTCTCACAACTCATCACCAAGAAAAACTGTTGAACGATTTATGATATAATTTCACAAGAACTACAGTATATTATGAAACATTAAAAAGTAGATTCTAGACTGTGCTCAGATTTCTCTTATGTTTCGTTGATTTGAGATGCACTTGATAGTGCCCTTGGCTCAAATAACAATTACAAGCAGAACAGGTACTGTAATTGTTATTGCTTGCTTTGACACACATGTATACCTAATACCTATGGCAAACAATCCTGTAAATGTCTCTTCCTAGCATCAAGAATAGAACACAATTCTAATAATATCTGACCAGTAGAGTGGCTGAGTGGTTGATAGGAAGAACGTCTGAGTGGCTGAGTGGCTGACAGGAAGAAAGTCTAAGTGGCTGAG